AGAGAGAGAGAGCACATGAGAGGGGGGAGGGTCAGAGGGAGAAGCAGACTCCCCGCCGAGCAGGGAGCCCAATGCGGGACTCGATCCCGGGACTCCAGGATCATGACCTGAGCCGAAGGCAGTCGCCCAACCAACTGAGCCACCCAGGCGCCCCATCCTTTCAATATTTCTAATAAAAACTATTACCTCCATAAAATGAGCTCATCCCTAAGGGTTGGTTAGGTGGAAAGCAACCTGATTAAAACACAATAATTCAGGGGCGCCTGGCTGGCTCAGTTGGTGGAACATGCAACTCCTGATCTTGGGTTTGGATGTTCAAGCCCCATGTTGGGTGTAGAGATTACTTAAAATTAATATCTTTAAAAAACAAAAACAAAAAAACCCACTATAATTCAACTTGTAGTGAGAACGACTATTAATAAATACCTCACTCTCCCCATTCTTACTAACACAAAAGGAATAACTGGCGGAATTTCAGGCAGTGTGATTGAATGAAGTAAAAAAGACCAAGCTGTGTTTTGGGGAAGACTTTGGGCCTTAAATAACTCTTCTCTTTTTATGTTCACTTTCACTTCTTTTCATTTCTGTGGCTCTGCATTATTCTGGTTCTCCTACATCTCCAATAAGTTTCCTGCCCGCCCCCTCACCCTTTCTGGCTCCTCTTCTTTCTTTCACCTCCTGACTGTGCATTCTGTATGGTTTGGTCTTTAAGCTTCCGCTTGGGCTCTCTCCTCTCCACTTCAGGGATCCAGTCTACACCCACGGCTTCAGATGTCATAAGTAGGCTTTAGAATCAGTTTAGAGTTATCCACATGCCAGTCTCCCACCGCCTCCAAACCATATTCCCCATACTGTTTGTTCCTCTTGGTTTCTCTATTGATATTAATGTTATGGCTATTTCCAAGGTAATGATGCTCAAAACCCAAACACTACTTGTCTGTGGATTCATTATTTTCCCCCAATTCAGCCCAAAAAGTCTTACTAATTTTTTTTTAATTACTCTTTCATGTGTCCCTTCTTTTCAGCTCCCACCACCTCAAGGCATCCAGTTAAAGGATTTCCATATCATACTGACTGTTGTTCTAGCCTCCTGACTGTTCTCCCTACGGCCAGTCTCATGCTAGATACGGCTACCAGATCAGTGTTTGTAGAGCAGAGCTTCTATCCTTACCACTCCTTTGCCCATGGAATAGAGGATGCAAAACAGCCTTTTAAATCAGGCAGTAAACTCTACAACTTGATACCAACTTAGCCCTCCAAGTGCATTGTCTACTGTTGTCCTAAGGTGACCCTTCCATGACAGACTGGTCTCCCCGCCCCCAAATATTCCTGTTCTTTCTCACCTCTATGCCATTGCTCTTGCACCTTGTGAATTGTCCTTTTTGTTAATCAATTCACTTATTCAACAAATACCTGTTAAACATTGCTATATGCCTAGTATCTTGGATACAATGATAATCAAACTCTTCTTTGTGTTCATAGATTATAGCCTAGTGTGGAGGACAGACATTCATTAATGTCGTGTGGCAGACACTATTCCAGGTGCTGGGGATACAGCAGCTTATTAAACAGACAAAAATGGGGCGCCTGGGTGGCTCAGTTGGTTAGGCGACTGCCTTCGGCTCAGGTCATGATCCTGGAGTCCCGGGATCGAGTCCCGCATCAGGCTCCCTGCTC